TGTGTGAGTGTGAGTGTGAGTGTGAGACCTGTTGCTGGAGCTCCTGGTTCTGCTTGTATTTCTGGAACTCGATGGGATCCGGCGGTCTCTGCTCGATCAGCTCCGCGAGGCATACTGCGAGTCCATCTCAGCAAAACAATCCACCTGTACAACAGCTGTTTATTTATCCAAACATTAAAAAACCGCCGTCAAATTGCGTGTTATCGCTAACGTTAACGCGTTGACACCACTATAACATCAATATATAATGAATTCTCTATTATAGATCAGTGGTTGACACGTTGCTTTGTATTAGCGTGTTTTGTTTACAATCTCCATGGTAACAGCGCAGCATTGAAACACTTCCGGCTTGAAACAAACAAAAAAAGGCGGCAAGCCCAGCTAACAAACTCGTTGTGGGAACATTAATATTTCTAAAACGCTTGTCGTGATCTGAATGTTATTTAACAGTCACAAAAACGCTTTTACAACATTCTACTAACTTTATTTTCACCCAAAATAAAACGTTGTTTGACCGTCCATTTTTTAATATTCTAAGAAAAGTTAAATGTTCGATTTTTTATTGATTAGAACATTATTTAAAGGTTACAAAAGCATTTATTAGAACGTTTATCAAGCACAAATAACATCATAAGGCAAAAATGTTGATCTCAAAACGTTTTCTCTCATTGTTATGAGCACGTACTGTAGGCCTAAAGTAATTAATTACTCAATTGTTCAACTTATCTTCCTTCAAATACTAAAACAGATTCAACTATTTTAATAAATAAACAGTAAAGAAGCAGCAGGTCATGAATCTGATATATTTGCTGTGTGGACATGAAGATAAACCAGTAAAATATTACACAACTTTCTTACCGTAGAAAAGTGGTACATATATTGACAGCACAGTGCAAACAATAAAATGTAATTGTAATATAATTAAAGCTCACACATGGTTTTCTTGATAACAGACAGTGACTGATTCAAGAACACTTGTTAACTGAATATCAGGACACTGAATTATTAAGCACTTGAACTCGAGTTCATCATAAATCCAGACAGAAATATGCAAATATTGCCAATAGAGCTGCCAGTATATGAATGACCACACTAAAGTGCACATTCGTTTTGAGAAATCACATTTTTCGCAAAACAGCCCTTCCGTAATTATGTATTTACAGTTATACATTTTACTCCCAGACAGTCATAAACATGGCATTTCATGTTTTGCTCCTAAAAGGGCATCAAGGCATTCTCTGTTAATCTTAAAGGAACACGCCACTATTTTTGAAAATAGGCTCTATGCTAAGCTACAGCTAAAAGTGCTACCGCCAGACCCGGAGATCTGCTGAATGGATTCGAAAACGGTAAAACTCAACTGTTTAACTCTAGGGGAGTCGGAAAATGAACCTATTTTCAAAAAAAGTGGCGTGTTCCTTTAACAAAGAATTTTACAATTCTTCTACATTCTTAAATTCAGATTGTCTGTAATGCAGATAAAGGTTGTAAAGGTTTTTCCAGCAGGTTGCATGTTAATCCTCATGTTCTCTTTAGGCTGATGTTCACACGTCAGACGTTTGTCTAGACTTTCTCTAGTCTGTGTCTGTCCTCAGACGCGCCGGCTCGTCTCGTCATCAGAGCGGCGAGTGTTTCTGAAGAGATGGAGCCAAACTCGAGCGAGAAGGAGCTGTAAAACAGCAGCACGATGATGGCAAACATCCACTCCAATATAGCAGCCGCGTGCTGGAGAACAAAACTCTCCTGAATGAAAAACACACCGCCTGCAGGACACAGCATTAAGGAACAACTGCACAGCACTGTAAAAAAAAATGCAACTGCACATTTTCCAGTTTACGAAACCTTTTGAGTCTCAAATACTAAAAAATGCTATTTTCTTGAAACTACATAAAAACCCTTGTCAGACCAACAAAATGACCCCAAATGTTGTCCCAACTAGTCAAAACACAGTTGTCTGAACAAAGAATTTCATATTGTTGCAATGTTAAGGCTTTGTGAGAAATTATGCAGTTACTGTTATAGGATTATTGCTTTGCTGTTTGCCTACTTCATTTAAACTTTTTTGTTGTTGTTTCGTCATTATTGTTAGTTATTTGTTGCACTGTGATGTAAAGAGCTCATCTTTTTAACATTCGTTGATTGCCACTGTCTTGAGGTTTGTGTGCCTAGAGTATGTTCAATCACTTGTTATCTTAAAAGTTGTTTTACAAAAAAAAGACAACATTGTCTACTTATTAGACTAAGTTATCCATTATCGTTTGTCATTCGTAAACAAACATATATCTGATAATGTGGTGACTTTTTACACATTCTTTTTATCTTCCAGGTAACAGAAAACAATTAATTACCTCAATGACAGTAATTGTGGTTTAAGTTGCTGTAACAAGAATTTTTCTATTAGCAAAATAAGACAATCAGCATTGCGTTAACAAACAAATTTACGTTGGCCAAACAAGCTCTGTATCTTTACTGAGCAGAACTAAAAAACTATTGTTGAGAGAACTCAAAAGTCTGCCTTATTTTTTTAAGTTTAAGTCTCAACTATTTATTTTTTACAGTGAGCGTTTATGGCCATATGGAGCAGTTTTATGACTTAATGAGCACTGCATGTAGAGGATATTGAGTATGAGGGTGGTGAAGGCCAGTGCGGTGAGCGTCAGCCGTAGATGAGCCGTCTGGAAGTCTCTCGGCGTCTCGGCTGCGCGGTACGAAAGCAGCGTCTGCACGCACACAAACAGCAGACTGCCAGGGAAGGCCAGACCCGCGCCCACATAATGAAGGACTTTAGCATGGTCCACCTGCAGAAAACAGCACAGAGTCGACACAAGTTACAGTTTCAATCCCATTTCACTCTCAGAAAAAAAGGCACAAAATCTGGCACTGGGACGGTACCTTTATTCAAAGGTACTAATATGTACAGTTTAGGTTATAATACTTACCTTTAAGGTAATAACATGCACCCTTTAGTGGTAAATAAGGTACAAAAGTGTACTTTTTAAAAAAGCTACTGGCCCATTTGTATCATTTAGACCACTGGTTCTCACTTCCATCTTTGCAACATGACTTAAAACGAAGAAAAACAAGCTTTAAAATTAGCTTTAAAAAAGAGGCTAAAAATCAATATGTAAAACGACATCACATTCACAGTTGAAGTCAAAAGTTCACATACAAAATGCTAATTATTTTACCAAAATAAGAGGGATGTTATTGTTTATTTAGTACTGACCTGAATAAGGTATTTCACATAAAGGATGTTTGTTTACATATAGTACACAAGAGAACATAATAGTTGAATTTAGAAAAATGACTGTGATTCTTAAATGATTCTTAAAGAGGTCATATGATGGGCATGACGAAGCGGATATCGTCCTCTTTTGGAAGACCAAACAAAGTAGTTTCGCTTTCACAACGAAGCACACAGCGTCTTCACGACATGGCGGCAGCGGCAACAACAATACTACAGTGAGAATAAAAGTTACGCCTTCTCTCTTTGCGTGAACATTTGGGCGGCGTTATGCAAATCTTCCCACATAGTGAGGTAGACATGTGGGGGCGTGTTAGAACGAGCCGTTTTAGGTAGACGTGGCTAACTCTTAACTTTTATAAAGAATATCTCTTTGGATTTGAGACTTTAGTCTTTACAACTTTACAGATCTTCTTTATGCACCAAGAGCTTGTAACACTCCAAAGAGAAAGGAAAAAATGAAATCGCATCATATGACCCCTTTAATACTGTGTTGTTAGCTGAATGATCCACAGCTGTGTTTTTTTTTGTTTAGTGATAGTTGTTCACGAGTCCCTTGTTTGTCCTGAACAGTTAAACTGCCTGCTGTTCTTCAGAAAAAGGTCCCACAAATTCTTTGGTTTTCCAGCATTTTTGTGTATTTGAACTCTTTCCAACAGTGACTGTATGATTTTGAGATCCATCTTTTCACACTGAGGACAACCGAGGGACTTGTATGCAACTATTACAGAAGGTTCAAACGCTCGCTGATGCTCCAGAAGGAAAAACCATGCATTAAGAGCCTGTGTGTGTGTGTCTGGGTTTGAACCTGAAGCCCTTGAGTTTCTATCCCAGATCTCTAACCACTTTCACAGCTTAGTTAAAACACATCTGCACACACTTCTATCACTGCAGGACACGCAGACGGACACACATCAAACGGCCGAATGCCTTTGATTTCACACTTATGCAATAACACACAATAAGCGGACGTGCACAGGAGAGACGCTGTGCAGTGAGCTGTGTTTATCTGATCATATATTTCATAATACCTGTTGAAGCAAAGAAAAACACACATTTATGGGCTTATTCAAAGCTCTAATAAACTATAGCAGCAGGAAAGAAGTCTCAATGAATGAGGAAAAACAAATCATCTTTGTTCTTATGTTGATACAATTTGAAAGGGGCAGGCAGAGATCTGGAGGAGATGCCTGGACGAAGAGCAGCACTTAAGATGTTCCAGAACATTCTACCAAATCAACTATTCTGGAGATTTATTTTCATATGTATCCCCCAAATTTAAAAAGAGAGCCCTAAAGGAGTTAAAAACATCATAATCCAGTAAAATAAGTTTTAAAATATTGAACCTTGGTGAAAGTAGTGTATTAAAATGACAAATAATCTATATTATTTATTAAAATATAATAATGGTGTCTATGGAGAAATTCTCAAAAAGAGAAAAGAGAATTGCTGCTTTGTTCTTGTTTTCTTACTTGGAAGTTTCCCACAATCATGAGTCCTGCAGCACAGAGCCATCCGGCAAACAGACCCTCGATGTTCAACACGCTGTTGCTGTGCTTATGGATGAGTTGAGCGTAACGCAGCAGACCAATCACAATCACTGTAACACACGAAACAGAACAATCACCCTCACTGTAACACACGAAACAGTCCAATCACAGTCACTGTAACACACAAACCGACCAATCACAGTCACTGTAACACACAAACAGAACAATCACAGTCACGGTAACACAAACAGAACAATCACAGTCACTGTAACACAAACAGAACAATCACAGTCACTTTAACACATGAAACAGACCAATCACAGTCACTGTAACACACAAACAGAACAATCACAGTCACTGTAACACACGAAACAGAACAATCACACTCACTGTAACACAAGAAACAGTCCAATCACAGTCACTGTAACACACAAACAGAACAATCACGGTCACTGTAACACATGAAAAAGACCAATAACAGTCACTGTAAGAAACAGACCAATCACAGTCACTGTAACACACAAACAGAACAATCACAGTCACTAACACACAAACAGAACAATCACAGTCACTGTAGCACACAAACAGAACAATCACAGTCACTGTAACACACAAACAGAACAATCACAGTCACTAACACACAAACAGAACAATCACAGTCACTGTAGCACACAAACAGAACAATCACAGTCACTGTAACACATGAAACAGACCAATCACAGTCACTGTAACACACAAACAGAACAATCACAGTCACTGTAGCACACAAACAGAACAATCACAGTCACTGTAACCACACAAACAGAACAATCACAGTCACTGTAACACACAAACAGAACAATCACAGTCACTGTAACACACGAAGCAGACCAATAACAATTACTGTAACACAAAACAGAACAATCACATCAAAAACAGATTAAATATGCTGAAAGAGCTGGTAGAGTCAGATGAGTGTTTCTATCGTTCAGAACTGAATCAGTGAATCACTCACCCAGGAATGAAGCAGTGCTGCACAGTAGACTGAACCAGCAGCTCTCTGGAGGAACACCGCCACATTTACTGCACACACATCAGCAGGATCAAAAACATGTCTGACAATATATAATTTTTGCTCATCTTCTAATAAAATGTGATGTTTTGGTACCTGATGAGTGGGATGTTGTCCAGCGTGCAGCACAGATCAGATCCGCTCTGAAGAACCAAAGACGTCTCACAGGTTGAGTTATATACCCTACAAACACACACATACTGTGACAATATTTGCTGACTGCATGCATAAAATAAGTTAAAACAAAGATTTTGCAAGGGTTTTGATTTTTAACATTGAGATAACTAAACTCTTGAGATAGAAAACTGTATAGTTTGGCATTTAACAGACTGATCAATCTGAACAAACACAGAGACGTGACAGTCAAACCTCTTCAACCTCAAAATCAATGTGATCTAATCAAACACTTCAGCAAAATCTTATTCAATTATTGTTGAGGACATTCTATTGATATCTGAATAAATCAATCACAGCATGCTCTGTGTTCCACTGAGAGAGGGTTCAATATTCACCAGTTATTCACAGGACAAACGTGCTGATTGTAAAGGGCCATCGCATATCTGTGAGACAGAGAGAGAGAGACAGACAGGTTAAAAGAGTACAGACTACTTTCAGAAATCCAACATGTCTTTACAAACGTTTTCAGGTCAACTGGGCAAAGCTGATTCTTAATTACTGCTAAATGAGTTTTGCAAAAAGATTTGCATAGAAACTGTTAACAAAGTGATACATTTCTGAAAGGTATTTAACTCCACTCGAGCTAACATTTAATTAAAACACATTGCAAACGCATTTAAGGATTAAATATAAACATTATGATTAAATGGATAAACTCCAATTCTCTAAGACAAAGTTACAATATATTCAGTAATATATACAATACAATTTTAAAACCAAAATATACTTTTTTCTCAATATATCAGCCATTATTGTTAACTACGGTAGAACTTAAACCGTAAAAAATATTCATTACACGACATGAACTAATAGAAAAAAACATAAATAAACTAATATAAAAAAAAAAAAATGAAAACAGAAAATATAAATGATCTAATTTAAAATATAAACAAAACTAGTATATCAATGATACTAAAATAACACTGCAACAGAAATAGGTACTTTACTCTTAGTAAAATAATCACATCTTCTGTAGTTTAAATGCATTCAAGGTTTTATTGAAATGAAATCGCCAGATTAACATAAACTCTTAATAAATACTCACATGATCCAGATTCCAGGCAGTGTGAACACAGGCAAACTGATGGGAACCAGAAACCACAGAGACATTTTCCCTCGTCCTGAAGAGCTTCTCTGAATCATTGCATCAGATCTAACTCCACTCATCTTCATTCAGTGTAAAACCTCACAGATCAACACATGACAGCAAGTGTTTTCTGTCAGTGTCTGGTGCTGTGTTTTCAGACACAGTGAGAGAGGAACACATGAGGTCTGATCTAATGCTCCTCCTCTCCTCTCATGTCCAGCAGAGGGCAGCATTTCTCATTAAAATAACGCCATATGGCTTCAGTGAAAATTCTATTGATCACAGCAATAAATTAGAGTTTAACAGAGATTCACACAGAAAACAGCTGTTTCAAATTCTAATAACATTTCACAATTTTCACATTATTTTTGACCAAATAAATGCAGCCTCGGTGAGCACAAGAGACTTCTTTCAATAACATTAAAAAATCTGCCTGACCCCACTTTTTTGAACTCTTAAGAGATTCTGAACAAAAGATCTGAGAAATGACAGAACTAAAAATATGTTTATTAAGAGGTTTATTATTAATAAACACATGCTTCAGAACGTTCCTTCAGGACTTTGCAAATAAACTCATATTTTAAAATGAATAAAACATTTGGTTAATTGTTCATACAAAGAGAGGGTGAGAAAAATACACTCAAATGATGTTTGCTAAGCTCTAGAAGAACAGATAAACTGGCGATAACTGAAGATAATGAATCTCTGAGACAACACCTGAATCTACCTGCTCTGACAATCAACCAGATCAGCTCAAATGCTGTATGTTGACTAACCAGAAAGACGACTTTACACCGTCTGACAGGCCTCGACAACCACAAACACAATATCAACTCTGTGTTCTCCAGACAAACTTGTTTAGAGTTACACATAGATCTTTCTGACGTACTGAAGTGCTATATTCACAGTAAGTGTAGGACTCAGAAGTGCTGAAATATAACACACTAAAGAGAGTACTGTATGTCACGTGCAGCATCTGTTTTACAGTAATACATACTGAGAAAACCTGCATATGCTCATTTTTACTGACACTTTTAAACATTTTAAACTCTATAAACTGCAAACCCTTTTAAATTCTTTCTTGCATGTCTGCATTTGCAATGAAATTTTGTGCAAATTAAATTTGGACATTTTATGGCAAATGCAGTTGTGTGTGAATATACTGTAATATTCAGCAGCTCAACTTTTTGGGATTTTTTTGCTGTTTTGAAGGGTTTTGATCACTCATGTTTGTAACAAGTCAACATTACACGATCAATGGTTTCATTGTTACAGTCATCAGAGGAGAATGTGTGGCTTTGTTTCACTGGGATAAAATCAATGCTTTAACACACAAGATGTGTATCATTAACACACGTTTAACTCATTCATTTATAAAAAAGGAACATTTGATCAAAGTCACATTTCACCCTAAAACCATTAGAAAAACATTTAAAATCACATATTTTGCATGAATGAAATAAAGCCTATTTTAAGAACACTTTTTACCATTTTTTTTGCATTGTGATATTTTCATAACAATTAACCAAGTTATGCACAGCTTATAAAAATAGCTACTGGAATTCAATAATTTCTTCAAATAAAATCGACAACTTAAATGCTGCACAAGAAATACTCCTTCCATTAAAATAATGAGAACATGGAGATTTAACGTGCACTAATTGTCATTAAAAAATGCCTACGTAAGCATATATACATATCCTATGTTTAGGTTTAGTAATTTTACTCTAATGGCAATGTATAGGTGCTTTTCTATGCAATTAAAGTGAAATAACTTATATATATAACATATTTAAAAAAAAAATAATTTTTTTTTCCCCCAATTTTTTAATGGTCCTAAAACTAGGCTTTATTTTTATTTCTTCTTTTATTTCATTCTTCTTCTTTAAACTTAATTTAACCTCTGAGCGTGTAAACTAGTGTTTTCAATTCCCTTTATGGATGGTTTTGCATTATTTTAAAGGAACAGGATGGATGTGATGAGTTTTTCTCACTCTCGTTTCTCTCTCTTCTCGTCTCCAGAGCGCTTGAGGTAGGACTGATAGAAGAAGACAAGGAAGAGCAGCAGGTAGCTAAGGTACATCACAGAGGCGTAGATGATATTGTGCATGGTGGAGAAGCAGTGGATGTCATGTTTCCAGAGGTAGAGGAGCCCCAAGACACTTAGCCCCATGAGCATCTGCGTGATCTGCATGAGCGTGATCAGCATGGCGAAGGGTCGCGGCACACAAGCGCCGGCTGCTTTAGCCGTGTAGTAGCTGTACATGAATGCATGGACGGTGTAGTTCATGGTCATGAACCAGCCGCCGCCGGCCACACGGTCTTTATACGTGTACCAGCTGTAGAGCAGGACGGTGATGTGATGATACCAGTGCAGGAAGATCAGACGCTGCTTACGCAGGACGATGAACACCGTGTCCCCTGAACAACACCACAAACACAACACAAGCAACTCTTGACATGCATATCACAAAAAATAATTTCAACTGGCCTTCGAAGACACTAATGCACTTATAATGGAAATCTAGAGTTATTATGCATGCATAAATTAATGCAGGGTAATAAAATCATTTGCTAAGCATATCTGTGCGAAGTTATTTTACATTTACATGCATGCGTTTGAAAGGTTTACAAACACATGGTGTACATTTGATCAGTTCTTGCTTTCACCCAGAAGTTATCTTTTATGCAATCTTTTAACTCCCATCGTAAGAATGCAAAGTCAGTAACATGATATGCATGAGGATGCTAGAAAGCGTTGAGATGTAACTATACGTTATTTGATCAGTCACATTTCACCCCAAAATCATTAGAAAAACATATGTTGCATTAATAAAATGAAGCCTATTTTAAGAACATTAAGATTTTTTTGCATTGTGACATTATTTTCATAACAATTATTACCTTGTATTTTAGTGTAAAAAATACCGTAATTCAGTGATTTTTTTACAATTTAAATTAACAAGTTAAAGGCTGTACACTGAAAAAAAAATAGTTTTTGAAGTTGCAAAACGAAAATTACATAACATTTATGAATGTTAATTAATATTAAGTTCAAAATTTAATACATTATTAAAATGTAAAGTTAACTTATGTACTGTGAATTAACATGAACATGAATATTTTTATTAACTGACATTATAGAAAATTAATAAATGCTGTAAAAATATATTGTTAATTTTTAGTTAATGTTAGTTAATGCATTAACTAATGTTAACCAAAAGAGACCTTATTTAAAAGTGTTACCAAAACCTTTAATTATCTATAAGATTTTAGGGATCTATAAGCATTTGTGAAAAATTTTGTCTGCATTACAGCTTAGTATTACAGACAAAATCACAGATATAAATGAAGAGACTTTTAAACCAAGAGTGTAAAATAGAGTCTCTCTCTCTCTCTCAAACACAAACACACACACACACACACACACACACACACACACAGAAAGAGAATAATATATAAAACTTTTGTAACAATTTACAATAAGGTTTTAGTTGTTAACATTAAATAACTATGTTAGTTAACATGAACAATATTTATATAGCATTTATGAATCTTAGTTAATACTATGTTCAAAATGTACTACTACATTATTAACTAAAATGTATAGTTAATGTATAATGTCTGTCTAATGTATAATGTTAATGTCTGTAACATCCCTGAGCATTTTAAATTTATGAAACTAAGCATGTTCCTAAGAATGACTTGTTCTCCATATGTAAAAAGTTTTGTTTGGATAATGCACTTTAAAGATATAAGAAAATTACTGCTATGTTTTTTTACTGTTACTCTTTTTTAGAATCACAACAGTCAAATCTATGAGATGATGTAAATTCAGATGAATGTCATGTCACAGGACGTCATAGGTCAGTATCAAATGAGTGTCAAATTATTATTTCTTACTGTATTCCAGGGGGCGCCGTAGAGCCCCTGTGCCACGCCAAACACAAACACACACACACACACACACACACACACACACACAGAAAGAGAATAATATATAAAACTTTTGTAACAATTTACAATAAGGTTTTAGTTGTTAACATTAAATAACTATGTTAGTTAACATGAACAATATTTATATAGCATTTATGAATCTTAGTTAATACTATGTTCAAAATGTACTACTACATTATTAACTAAAATGTATAGTTAATGTATAATGTCTGTCTAATGTATAATGTTAATGTCTGTAACATCCCTGAGCATTTTAAATTTATGAAACTAAGCATGTTCCTAAGAATGACTTGTTCTCCATATGTAAAAAGTTTTGTTTGGATAATGCACTTTAAAGATATAAGAAAATTACTGCTATGTTTTTTTACTGTTACTCTTTTTTAGAATCACAACAGTCAAATCTATGAGATGATGTAAATTCAGATGAATGTCATGTCACAGGACGTCATAGGTCAGTATCAAATGAGTGTCAAATTATTATTTCTTACTGTATTCCAGGGGGTGCCGTAGAGCCCCTGTGCCACGCCCGGGTCCCAGCCTCTGCGGCGTCCTAATGGCCGCAGATTCCAACAATTTTCAAGAGTTTTTGAGCATGTTAAGGCCCCCAAAAACCCCGGAATGTAAAAAAAATAAATAATAAATAATAATAAATCCTTAGAAGAACAAGAGGGCCCTGTGCCTTAATGGCTTGGGCCCTAATAAGAATATGATTAATTACAAGAAAATTATTTTCAGTTTTTCTGCTTCGAAATTGCATGTTTAATTCAATATGTTATTTGCAATTTCTTTGTAGTTACTGAAATTTGAGTCAAAATTGTTTATACACTCAATTTTTTTCAGTGTACAACTGTCATGTAAATGCTTTACAAATTAAATAATATATAGATGTTTCAATTTTTTTATGTTATAATAATGAGAACATGAAGCTTAAATGTGCTTAATTGTCATGAAAAATATCACAATGCAAATAAATAAATAAATGGCTTAATTTTGCTGATGCTAAATATAATTTCTTGTATTTTCGGGTGAAATATTCATGAAGATGTTTACATAAGCAAACTAGTACCCATAACACATAACCACAAGTTAATCTGGTTAGACGAGTATTCTTACCACTACACTTTACATCTCAAATAACACATTTAAATGTGTATAATAACACAAAAATATGAGTGTCACATTTCTGCTTTTAAGCCATTTACAACAAACTGTAAATGCAATTTTTGTTTGTTCTTGGACAGTCATAATTATTTATGATAATCAACAGAGTGTCACAAATGCAGTGCATAAATGTTTTGGACCCGGAACATTAATTTTAGGTGTTAAATGTTGGGGGTTCGAGTTTAAAGTTTAAATAAACTAAAGGTCTGAATGATTTTCTGTACTTTACAGGCGTTAAAAAATAAAAATCTAAAACTGTGACACCTGCCAGACTTTCCAAACACCTTTACATAATATGCATGATTTTGCACTATGAAAAATTATTTTTCAAATATTAATAGAGTATGTTTTACATGAAAATACAATTTCAGTCTTTCAACTTCAAAATTTCATGTTTAATTCAATGTGTCACTTGCCATATGTGACCCTGGACCATAAGGGTAAATTTTTCAAAATTGAGATTTATACATCATCTGAAAGCTGAATGCTTTCCATTGATGTATGGTTTGTTATGATAGGACAATATTTGGCTGAGATACAACTATTTGAAAATCTGGAATCTGAGGGTGCAAAAAAATCTAAATATTGAGAAAATCACCTTTAAAGTTGTCCAAATGAAGTTCTTAGCAATGCATATTACTAATCAAAAATTAAGTTTTGATATATTTACAGTAGGACATTTACAAAATCTCTTCATGGAACACGATCTTTACTTAATATCCTAATGATTTTTGGCATAAAAGAGAAATGTATAATTTTGACCCATACAATGTATTGTTGGCTATTGCTGCAAATATACCCCAGCGACTTAACACTGCTTTTGTGCTCCAGCGTCACGTTTCTTTGTAACTATTTGTGAAATTTACTAGCAGTTTCTAAGTGAATATAGTTTCAAAGTAATTCCTACTCCAGTTCCAATTCTTTTCACTGAAGAACAAAGGAATAATGGATGAATTATGAGCTGTATTTACTCACTTTTATCCAAAGCAGTCACAGAGTCAGCAGTTAATGTGAAAGTCTTACCGAGCTCAGGCGCTTTACTCAGAGTGAAGGCAAACGCCCAGAACTTGCTGACAGGGGCGCCGAAGAACTCCGTGTCACACACAGACTCCTGAAGCCCGCGTGACCTCACCATATTGAACATGTACCAGCCTGTCCGCATCGCTCCCGTTATACTGACAGACAGACAACAGCAATGAGGAAACACACCATATCTGTTCCATTCAGAGAATCAAGAGAACTCACAGAGGAGAGATACCTCAAACTGAGCTCGTATCTGATCCAAGAGACTTCTCATCAAAACAGAGTAAAACTCACCGCCACAATACAAGGGTTAGTTCTGGTCCTTCATGGAGGCCCATTAAAAAAATTTAAATGGGCATAAATGCAACTCACAATGACTTTTTTGTCACATTTCTGAGAAAAAAGGACAGAATTGTGATGCATAACCACAGAATTACAAGATATAAACAGAATTCTTAGTGTTTTTCTAGCAGTTCTGAGTTTACAGCTCACAATTCTAACATTATTTTTCTCAGATTTCTGAGTTTACATCTCACACTTATGATTTTTTCTCGCAATTTTGAGTTTACATCTCACACATAATTATGAAAATTTCTCGCAATTTTGAGTTTACATCTGGCAATTCAAAAAAAATTCTCTGATTTCTGAGTTTATATCTCACAATTCTAACAGTTTTTTCTCATAATTTTGAGTTGACATCTTACAATTCTAAAATGTTTTGACTTTTCTAAGAACTGCGAGATAAAACTCAAACTTCAGAGAAAAAGTCAGAATTGCGCGGTGTAAACTCAAGTTTATATCTCACAATTCTGTTTCCCCCACCACAGAATATGAAATAAAATAAAAAAGCAATTGCAACTTTTTATCTCACAATTCTTACTGTTTTTCTCAGATTTGCAATTCTGAGTTAATATCTCGCAGTTCCTGTATGATTTTATCAGACGGCAGGCGTCTCACCTGAATATGGCCAGACTTAATGACCAGAGCATAAGAGGCTTCCGCAGCTCCAGCTTCTGTCTGTCCTTCATAAAGACACGTCCAAGAAATATAACCACCACATACACACCCGACAGTACAAACGCTGCTCCCCTGAAACACACAGGATTCACTTTAAGACCTGATGAAATCATATACATAGAGATATTACATATATGTGTGGATATCAAAGAATAAAAGTGACAGCAAGGCAAGGCTTATTTATGTAGCGCATATAAATTTATTTATATAGCATACATTCATACCGGTAATTCAAAAGTGCTTTACATAAAAATATTTTAAAATATAAAATAAATTTTAAAAAATACAATAAAAGATGTAAAAATTGAAGAAAATAATAAATTAATTCAAAGGACAACCTCAAGCTCATTCAAGAGCTCAACAGGTTTATATATAACCACTCTGTCCTGATCTGAACCTGCAAATAAAAGGTTTTTGGACGCTTTATTTGAACATGGGCAGATCTTGACGTCACAATCAGCTGAAAGGTCAAAGGTGAGTGAATCTGTGCCGTCCTCGTGAACCTGTCTTATCACCGACATCGATCCATCAATCACAGCAGAGTCATAAATCTCCTGTAAAACTGTCTGAACACTTATATAGTTCACAGGCACACACATTAATGCACTGAATCATCAGTTCTTGTTTGTTAATGTGATATTTAAGATGAAAGGTCAAAAGGTGATTCTCTCAGACTTTATTGCTTCATTTTAATGAGTAAGGAGTGTTTAAACATACTACCTACTGACTTTATGAAAGCTTAAAGCAGAATTCATGTTAGAAATGTGACATACATTGCACATTTTAAGTGTCTTGTACTGTCTGTTACTATTTTTTTATTATATAATAAGTATTATAATGTATTGCATATCAGACTTTATGTG